ATATTTCTCAGACTCTAATCCTAGAAGGAAGGAGATAAAGAGTAAATACCATGAAGACTTTTTTTAGGACATGGAAATTTAGATTCAAAATGCATTCAAGCAATTTTATACTCTGAAATTCAACATTCTTTGATCCACAAAAAGTTGGTGGATCCCTTTTAGTATTGTATATATGGGTTTAACCCCTATTATTTCTTATTCTTGCCCAAAATAATTGAAGAAATGACTCTAGCAAAATGAGCTAAAGTGGTATTTTAGCCCCAAGATCTGAAAAAATTGTATATTTAAAGAGTATAGCCGTGCGTCGATACGACACAAAAAAATAATAATAATAATAAAGAATACAGCCGAGCGGCTATACGCAACAAAAATAAAAAAGAGTAAGGCCGCCCGGCTATACTCGTAAAAAATAAAAATAATATGCTCTAATATAGAAAAGGATATAGCCGAGCTGCTATATGCTTTTTTTTAAAAAAAAAAAGTCTAGCCGCTGGTGCCTGATTATAATGTAATAGTCTAGCAGCCGGTGCCTGATTAAATAAAAGTCTAGCCGCTAGTGAATGGGGCATTCATAATGTAATATACTAGAATAATTAAAAGGACGTTGCCACTAGCTAGTGCCTGATTATTCATTGCAAATCAGTTCCTTCATCTGCGTATCTTTCAAGGTCATATGACTCATCATACCCTATTCAATTACAATATACACAATTTAAGGTCTTGTTTATTAAGCATAAACTCGAGCGAGCCTTATTATTTATGAGATTTTCTATTTAAATCCCGTACTTCTCTTTGTTCACCCCCAATACTTAAATCATTAGGCTGTAAGTTTTATTATTGTCTAAAAAGACAAAAAAGGTCATCCAACTTAATAATTAACCCTAGCACATCTACACACACCCCACCACTTTTCATATTAAGTTTTAGAAACCTCCTTCCAACTTCCAGTTTACAAACTCTCTCTCTCTCTCTCTCAATAATACCCAAGCGTTAGAATTCCAGTTACAGTTATTGGAAAAAGGTAAAGTTGTTCTCTTTTTCTAGAAAGTATTAAATTTCTAATTTGGGGTTTTATTTGTTTGTGTTTTTTTTTTTTTACTGGGAACAAAGAAAATTGTGGGGTTTAAATAGAAAATCTATTTTAGTTCTTAATTTTCATTTTTTTTCCGTTTGGAGTGTATTTAAGGGTAGGTTAGGAAGATAGTGGGGGTTTTCTTAGAAATTGTGAAAATTTAAATTAAAAGTTGAGGTGAACTTAGAACATGGGGTGAACTAAGAGAAGTGTAGAGTTTAAATAGAAAATCTCTTATTTATTATCATAAATCTCTGCACTCAAAATATTATGCATAAATTGAGTCGATACTCTTTTTTCTTTGAATTTTTTGCCAAGTTTTGAGTTGATACTCAATTTCTCAGTAACCAATGCCTCCCATTTATAGGCGCTTGACGAAAAGCAAAGATAAGTCTTTGGCCTTTAATACTGGCAGATAAGACGTTGGCGATTGAGTGTTAAATATAGTTTTTAATGATGGATGTTCAGATGGTAGAAGCTAGGTTTTAATGCTTGTGGAAGAGACGTGGGTAGCTCTGGCTTTGATGCTGGTAGAAGAGGCTGGTTGTTCTCTTTGCTTACTCTTGTAATTGGGCTCATGAGAGTGGGCTCGAGTTTTGGTGCGCCCAAGCAGACCAAAACTTCCACTCTTTGACCTCTCGATGGGCCTTATAGACACTTTTAACCATCCACAACACAACCTGCTCAACAAGCCCCATGCATATCTATAGCGTGGGCCTACTTAAGCATGCTGGGTGGTTTAACATTGAAAAATGTATTAGCTTGCACGTAGTTATTTGACATTTGCTTGTTATGACATGCACACTATTTGATCATGTATAAAAAACATTCGTACATTCATTTGGGAATAAATTCATGAAATACAGCTTGGATTAGCATGTGACAACTTTTGGACGTTATATTGGGCTTTGAATATTCTTGGGCTTCTCTTGACATTTTGGGCCTCAACAATAAGGGAAAAAAATCTCTAGTTTTGTTTCAACAGCTGGTGAAATAATGATCTGTGTATTACTAAGATCTTATATTTTTAGAAAAGTTGATATAAATACAAATTTTCTTTGAGAAGTTGGGTTTAATCCTCGGATTTGGCGACTTTGATACAAGTCCTTTGACTTTTGTTCCATATACGATTATGTGATAATATTTATCCATTTATGACGTTTGTCATTGAATAGAAAAGGAAAATATCGCAAACACATCCCAGAGAGCATTTAAATAAAAACCTCCATCTCCTTCTCCTTCCAACCTGCCGTGCCGCCCCACTGTGCCAACCCACCTCTCTCACCCCTCCCTCACTGTGGCAAACATAAAGCTTCCAAAAGAAAATACGTGGCAAAAATGTAAACTAAATATCATGATATTTCCTAAGATGCACTTCTCTTATGAACAATCAGTTTCATACCCCAAGAGCTGTTCTCCCACTTCTTCTTCACATCAGTAGCCTTCAATGCAGCAAGCAATTCCTTTTTCGTGGGAACCATTTTGATGTCAATTTTGAATGTAAGATACGGAAAGTCTCTTGAAATTCATTTGGCACAGCAAGGTGCTTGGTGGATGACTGCATGTCTATTTTGGCTCAATTTGCTCGAGCCTTTATTTTACATGTTTTTGGGGAAGCAAATACAGTAGCACATCATTTAGCACATGACTTATTGGTAAAAAAATTTATTTTTCTTCACCCTATGGTAGAGGTATATTACATACTCTTGTGAATATATTATCATATGGTGTAGGTATATTGTTGGTATATATATGTGTTTTTCATATTTTCGACAACATATAATAGTATTTTATGTACCATTAATTTTTTTTAATAGGTAGAATACAATTTTTATTTGTCTATTTTTGTATCTAAATTAGACGTGGTCTTCTTATTTATGTTCCTAACTTATAGGTGGTCTTTTAATTTATGTTCCTGACTTATACGTAACACGATTTATCACTAAGTTTTTTCCATTACTAATAATAACACTCTTTACCTTTACATTAGGTACATAATTTCATGTGGGTGCTTGCCTGAGTAATTGGTATAATACGTGGATTTTCACTGTCATGAATTAAATTAAAATGTACCCATATATGAGGTAAATATTAACAAGGAAAGAATTGAAAATTTAAATTATGAAATTCAATTATGAGGAAATAATGCATTAAATTTAGATTTTCAATGTGTTTTCTTTATATTACCCCAATGGGTAAATCGACACAACAAAAAAGTAATAAAAGTCAAAGAACTTACATCTAAAACCAAAAACACGTGGACTAAATTCAATGACAGCTAATCATTTTGGATCTAAGAACCCCTTATATTTTCCACTCAAAGGTTCTTAAAGGGAGCTTCAAGCATTGATCAACACTTCTACTCAACACCATTTAAGAAAAATATACTTGTAAGTGTCCAAAGTTGTTATTATCATAATTATTGCTAGAGTGATTGTCTTGCATTTCCTATAGGAAATAGAAAGATGGTGTCTGTAACACTGGTTTTAGAGGCATAGCCGAGCTGCTACACTTTTATAATATATTTGAATATGTTAAAGGTATAGCCGTTCGGCTATACTCTTTAATGTATCCAGGGTTTAGCTCTGTTAATCCTTTTCCATGTAAACAAACAAAAAAAGTGCAAAATCAGAAACGTACGTAAATTGGACGCCATGGTAGCCACGGATAGAGGACTCGAACTCTTCACTACGAACGTCTAGGGCATAGAGCAAGCCCATGCCAGGTTTCGATCAGTGTTCGAAAAATCGGCCAAGGCACTAGGCGGGAGGAGACCGACGCCAGGGAGTTAGGCGGCGCCTAGACGGCCTGGAAGGATCTAGGCGGCGCCATTGCGGCCTTGAAGGATCTAGTCGGTGCCTAGGCGGCCTGGAAGGATCTAGGCGGCGCCTTGGCTGACTGGAAGGATCTAGGCGGCGCCTAGGCGGCCTAGGCGGATCTAGGCGGCCTGGGAGGATCAGGGTGGCCTGGGTGGGTCGTGTCCATTGTTATAATTAACTTAGGCATGCATAGTTTTCCAAAAATTTACAAGCAGCAAAACAGAGAAAACACGCGAATCATGGAGTTACCAATCCTTCGATCTGAACAACTCTGAGGGGGGAAGCAACCTCTTCTGTCGCTGCCACCTGAAGAAAGGATCTTGCCACCGCTGTACAATCAACAAAACAAAACCAAATTTTCACAAAGAAGAAAAGCAAACGCATTCAAATTTACAGATAAAAATACAGATAGAGAATTGTACGAACGCGTTGCCATGTTGTAATTTCACGGAGAGAGCAAAAGAGGAGAAGAGAGACAGAGCAATAGTATAAGATGGGAAGCTGTAGTTTCCAACCAACGAACGATGTTTGATCTTGTATGATTATGTGCACTTTGATAATTTGTGACAACCCTATTATTTAACAAGCCTTTCCTGTTTTATAATGATTATCAACTTGACTTACAGACAAAAACTTTCGGACATCGAATTTGATGTATGGCTTTCAGTTCTGTGTGTTAATTATACCACAATAAGTTTTTTGGGATGCTTAGGTAAATTTGGATGTGTAACTTATCAGGAATTTCTTCTCAATAAGTTTTTTTTTTTTTTTTTTTTTTTTTTCTGGTTTCTGTTCAGGTTTGAAGTTCATCAATGTGGATCGTCCGTTTGCTGAGAAACACTATGAGGACTTGTCTTCAAAGCCCTTTTTCAGTGGATTGATTGATTATATTATTTCTGGTCCCGTTATTGCTATGACTTGGGAGGGTAAGAATGTTATCCTAACTGGCCGAAAGATTTTTGGCAGGTAACCTGATTTACCATGTTTTCCTGTCTCTTTTGCATTTATAACTTTTTTAATTATTATGTTTCAATTTTTTGGTCTGAAAGATGAGTATATAGGTACTGTTGATGGCTGTATAGGTAATGTGATCCCAAATCGTTCTCTTGAGAAAATGCTCAGCAGTAATAGCTTATTATGTTAATGGGAAAGCTGTTTCAAATAGATTGTTTGAACCTTTGATTGTTGCTAAAATTGTTGATGGTTCCAATTAGGCAGAAACACAATAGTCCAATATGTCCAGGAGTTTTATGGTTTGATTGCATCTCCTGTGTTATTCTCATAAATTTCAATTTCTAGTGAATTTCTTCTGAGATATATGACCTCATTCTAGCCAGTGGTGGTAAAACAATTCTGGAAAAGGCAGAGAAAATAAATTAGAGATACAATAGAGTAAAAGATAGCATGTGGATGAGAAACAAATTACAAATTACAAATATAAGCATCAATCTTTCCTGGTAGTAAACTGTCACAACTATAGAACTACATCACCTGTGATAGCTTTAAAAGAGAACAACATAACTAGCCCCAGCAAATAATTATCATAAATATTCAAGAAAAATAAGCAAGAGATAAACCATTATGAAATGATCAAGGTAGAAAGGACAATAAAATGCGTGGAGAAAGAAACTGCTGATATAGGTAAACAACTTCATTTGGCAAGACACAAGAACTAATTTTTTTTTTTCTTCTTAGCCAACTCGGATTTTTCACAAACGCCTGCTTCTAGCTTCTAAGTGGACTAAACCGTTTGTGTAGGTGGGGCAAGGGCTCCTAGTGAGGCTCAAGAAATCCTTGTCGGAAGAGGTGGAGTTGCGGGGACTGTGCCATCTTTGAAAACTGAGAGTGTTGTAATGGGCAGGCACCTTGGCTTAGATCTCGCCAAGGTGGAGATCCTTGGTGTAGGCGGCTCGATACAATTCATGATGTGTAAGTTCCACATTGGAGAATACAACAATAATCCAATTGAAATATTGGTGGACCACTCCTAATTGTACCTAGATGGTTAAGGTCGGGACAATACATGGTTTGGACAAGTAGTGGACTCCTAATGGGCATGGTGGTACCAACAACCCCATTTAATGCAGAACAAGGTCATGCCATGGCTAATTTGTGCAACAACAAAATGACCCAAGATGCAGATTTAGAAAAACAGATCGTCAGCTTGCAGCAATATCTAATCAATAATGCAATGTACATGAGATTTAAGTACCTATGAGATAGGTTGAACTTTCCCATTTTGTAAGGAGTAAGGAGAGGAATTGTGGGAGGTTGAGCAGACATGTTATTTTGCACTTGGCCTTTGCTCTGTAACGGTTTTGGTTCTTTTTTGTTTTGCTCTGGAAATGAATGGAAGACCCCAATTGGGGTTTTATACATTTAGTAGGAACCCAAAGACAAGACATTGAGACGTTTGATGATGTTTCCAATTACGTGCTTGTTATCGAAATTACATCTGAATCACACTTTTCAAGCTTTTTAGGTCCGGGTTGTTATTGAAATTACATAACTAATAGTTGATAAGGTCCCTGCACTGTGTGTAAACTAGTGTTCAAGTTTCGCTGCCAGTAGTCTTCATTCGTGCGTGATCTATCATTTCCTACAGAAATCCATACGGGTGGCAGCTGGCAGTTGGGTGCCACGCGTAAGTCCTTCCGACTCGAGATTATGTGTCTGCCCTGACGCTGGTAGTGAGAGTAGCCAATCTCCCCCTATACTTTTCTTCATTTTGAAAATAAAAAAGAAAAAAAGTACAAATAAATCAGCACCCATGCATGTAAATACGAACGTCATCCAACCGCTCATTGTGGGGCTACGTATGTAGTGACTTGTGATTATTCTGATGCTTGAATTCCCTTATGCCTTCTTGAATGAATTGTGTTGCAATAGAAAAGACGCATCATTCTTTTACTTGAAGCGGTGGCCGCTTGGACAAAGTTTGATGCAGACCCAAAGTCACAAGGCTAGCTTCAATAGGTGGCTTGAACAAATCAAGGTCAAGCCATTGGGACCCTTTTGAATATCTGTCTCCAAGTCAAAACTCACTACTTGGATTCCAAATTTAAATTTGCTGGTGCACTCCTGGGATGAGTCAAATGCACAACAAGATGAAAAGTGGTTTTAAACAAAAGAGGAAGATTTGGGTTCATCCGGTTGGGAGAATAAACACATTGAGTTTGAGTTTTTTTTATATATATCAAAAATAGTCAAAATTTACCTCTTACTATCGTAAATGTTAGTTTTTAAGAAGGCTTAAATGTTAAAATAGTCCATGTGTTTTACCTATTTGGCCAATTTAGTCATCGTGTTTTCAATTTAGCCAATTTGATTATTGTGTTTTACTCCGTTAATCAATATTGTCCAATCCGTCAAATTACCGTTGAAAAAAAGAATTGTTGAGAAAGCAACTACATCACCTGTGATAGCTTTAAAAGAGAACAACATAACTAGCCCCAGCAAATAATTATCATAAATATTCAAGAAAAATAAGCAAGAGATAAACCATTATGAAATGATCAAGGTAGAAAGGACAATAAAATGCGTGGAGAAAGAAACTGCTGATATAGGTAAACAACTTCATTTGGCAAGACATAAGAAGTAAAATTCTTTTTCTTGTTAGCCAACTCGGATTTTCCACAAACGCCTGCCTCTAACTTTTAAGTGGACTAAACTGTTTGTGCATGTGGGGCAAAAGCTCCTAGTGAGGCTCAAGAAATCCTTGTCGGAAGAGGTGGAGTTGCGGGGACTGTGCCATCTTTGAAAACTGAGAGTGTTGTAATGGGCAGGCACCTTGGCTTAGATCTCGCCAAGGTGGAGATCCTTGGTGTAGGCGGCTCGATACAATTCATGATGTGTAAGTTCCACATTGGAGAATACAACAATAATCCAATTGAAATATTGGTGGACCACTCCTAATTGTACCTAGATGGTTAAGGTCGGGACAATACATGGTTTGGACAAGTAGTGGACTCCTAATGGGCATGGTGGTACCAACAACCCCATTTAATGCAGAACAAGGTCATGCCATGGCTAATTTGTGCAACAACAAAATGACCCAAGATGCAGATTTAGAAAAACAGATCGTCAGCTTGCAGCAATATCTAATCAATAATGCAATGTACATGAGATTTAAGTACCTATGAGATAGGTTGAACTTTCCCATTTTGTAAGGAGTAAGGAGAGGAATTGTGGGAGGTTGAGCAGACATGTTATTTTGCACTTGGCCTTTGCTCTGTAACGGTTTTGGTTCTTTTTTGTTTTGCTCTGGAAATGAATGGAAGACCCCAATTGGGGTTTTATACATTTAGTAGGAACCCAAAGACAAGACATTGAGACGTTTGATGATGTTTCCAATTACGTGCTTGTTATCGAAATTACATCTGAATCACACTTTTCAAGCTTTTTAGGTCCGGGTTGTTATTGAAATTACATAACTAATAGTTGATAAGGTCCCTGCACTGTGTGTAAACTAGTGTTCAAGTTTCGCTGCCAGTAGTCTTCATTCGTGCGTGATCTATCATTTCCTACAGAAATCCATACGGGTGGCAGCTGGCAGTTGGGTGCCACGCGTAAGTCCTTCCGACTCGAGATTATGTGTCTGCCCTGACGCTGGTAGTGAGAGTAGCCAATCTCCCCCTATACTTTTCTTCATTTTGAAAATAAAAAAGAAAAAAAGTACAAATAAATCAGCACCCATGCATGTAAATACGAACGTCATCCAACCGCTCATTGTGGGGCTACGTATGTAGTGACTTGTGATTATTCTGATGCTTGAATTCCCTTATGCCTTCTTGAATGAATTGTGTTGCAATAGAAAAGACGCATCATTCTTTTACTTGAAGCGGTGGCCGCTTGGACAAAGTTTGATGCAGACCCAAAGTCACAAGGCTAGCTTCAATAGGTGGCTTGAACAAATCAAGGTCAAGCCATTGGGACCCTTTTGAATATCTGTCTCCAAGTCAAAACTCACTACTTGGATTCCAAATTTAAATTTGCTGGTGCACTCCTGGGATGAGTCAAATGCACAACAAGATGAAAAGTGGTTTTAAACAAAAGAGGAAGATTTGGGTTCATCCGGTTGGGAGAATAAACACATTGAGTTTGAGTTTTTTTTATATATATCAAAAATAGTCAAAATTTACCTCTTACTATCGTAAATGTTAGTTTTTAAGAAGGCTTAAATGTTAAAATAGTCCATGTGTTTTACCTATTTGGCCAATTTAGTCATCGTGTTTTCAATTTAGCCAATTTGATTATTGTGTTTTACTCCGTTAATCAATATTGTCCAATCCGTCAAATTACCGTTGAAAAAAAGAATTGTTGAGAAAGCTGTAGAAAGTGTCCTGATGGCAGGTGCGGAAGCTACCACAACAATGACCACAAGGTCAAGCACAACAAAGTCATCCAGAATTATAAGGCTGCTAAAGCCTTAACAAGCACTCAAATCGTGATTGGTTCAATCCCAATAAACTTAGGCATCACAGAACCCACAATGGTGACTTCTACAAAAGAAAAAACCTCACTATCAGAGGACGGTTGCCAAGACTTTGAAGAGCCACTGTTGGACAACCCTAATGAGGGGCGGCCCTGGCATGGTGCAAGTGGTGCAACTGCACAAGGCCCCCAATTTTTGAGGGCTCCCGAAATTTTTTACTTTATATTATATACTAATATTATAAAAACTCTATATATACTCCAGCATGCAACAATTTGACACAAAAGTGTATTTGGTGGAGCTAGTTTCTAGCACACATCCCTTAGTACAAGGCCCAAGTTTGAGTCCTAGTGATGTCATTCTATTTATATTTTTCTTCTTTTTTCATTATAACAGCAAATTTTAAAATAGTTTTTAAAAAAATATATAAGCACGTGAAAAAAAAAAAGAGGAAGGGGAAAGATCCAACTAAACTAACAACATTATATATCACACCCATAGGCTTTCTCCTAAAAACAAAGTACTTACTTCCACTCAAAACAAAACCAAAACAGAAATTCATGCCATTGTTCTTTCTCTTGAACTCTTATTTTTTTACTGAACATACTAATATTTAACTTTATCAAATAAAAAATATTAAAAAATTTATGAATTTGATTTGTGATTGTTATTTCATGCTAATTGATGAATTTTAGTTATAAAAAAAATTATTTTATAATATTACGTTATGTCAAATTTTTTATTTAGTATTTTCATATTAGACTATGTGAGGGCTCTAGTTTAAGTTTTGCACAGAGCCCTCAATATCTTAGGACCAGATGAATTAGTGAAGACAAACAGAGCAGACAAACAAGTGATGAGACTTCGAGCTCAAGTTTCACCGGGGGCATTCCTTAAGCAAGGCATCGAATTAACATGTCACAGGGATAAGCCCCGAGGCAAGCCAAAGCTTCTAAAGATGTGTCACTGCCTCAAAGCCTCAAGGGTTGTCACATCATTTGTTGGAGGAACAATAGAAAATATGAATTTAGATTATAATAATTCACAACAAAATTGTAATCATCAAATACAATAACAATTTTACATGAAATTAATGTAAATGAACAAACACAAATAGAAATAATGACAGCTATAGCGATTGAGGCTTGCAAGAATTGCAATGTCATAAAGATAGATTTCGCTCTTGCCCTTTTGCTCGCAGTTCTATAGGCGTCTATATCTCAAGATTCAACAATCGATAATTCTAAATTGAAGTACTTCAATTTAAGACTCCTTCAATTTAAGACTATGGCGAACCAATTATATATCTATACTCTCAAGACACTTTGGAAGGAAACTTGAAGATTGTTACTCTAACATAGCATGAGTGGATAAAACTCCTTTTTTTTTTTGGGTAAAGAAGATGGTAATGAGTTTATATAGAATCCATCAGTCATCCACCAACAGACGCAACTTTTTATAGCAAAAAATGCTTCTATATTTGATAACCGCATTCAACAAAACAATTGCTTTTGAATGCTAACAGATAATATCAATTGCATTTGAAACAATGCAATTGTTCGAGCAGAACGAACTCTTGTATTTTTTCACTCAATCATAAATTTAAATATTATAATGTTTGAGGGTGGTCAAAATTTACCCAATTTATCAAGGAAGAATTCCTAGCGGCCGAAGAATTCTCAGCGGCCGAAGAATTACTAGAGGCCAAGAATTCCTAGCGGACGAGAATTCTTAGCGGCCGAGATGCTTTCTCAAAGAAGGTGGCTGAGGTCTTTTCTTCAAAGGCCATGGTGCCTTTTCAAAAATGCGGCCGAAGTGCTTTCGCAAAAAAGGTGGCTGACGTGTTTTCTTCAAAGGACATGGTGCCTTTTCAAAAATGCGGCCGATGTGTTTTCTTCAAAGGTTGTGGTGCCTTCTCAAAAATATGGCCAGATGCTTCCCTTTGTAAAAGTAGCCGAGCGTTTCCTTGCAAAAGTGGCT